ACAGTTCTATTAGCATTGAAGAGAACTCGCATAGTTCTCTTCAATGCAATGGAAAACTTGCATAGTTCTCTTTTACTGTGATATTGTCAAAATGTTTCATTTTGTATGTTTCATCGATTGTAATCTTAACTGTAATTATGCAATTGAAGGAACATTGTAATCGTTTAGATATTCATAAATTTATTAAGAAAGACTTTCGCTGTTCCTTTCAATCAGTTTCTATAAATTAAAACTTAACTGGTTCAATTTACATCCATAATGAGGTTGTCATTATTTTCCATTTGTTTTTAATCAATTCTCTGTGATATTTATTTATGTTTACAGGATTTTTTTAATACTATCAATATTCTCATATAATTTTCATTGGTTTTTAATTGTTGTTGATAAAAGTTGTGTGTATTTAATTGAATCGACTTGTGGTGGTAATTATGCAATTAAAGGATGTTTTGAATACATTATGGAAGTACCGCTGTGAATAGTCATGATGTGTGTGTATATTGTGAAAGATTTTTAATAAATAAACGTGAATAATAAAGAGTTGTGTTGTGTTACACGGAAACTCTCAACGAAATGAAATATTTCGGTTATCGAACGACTTGACAATGAGAATTGTTGACTAGTATACTTTGAGTAAAATACTTTCCCGAAATTAGGCAAATCTGATGAACAGAGCACATTTCCCCGAACAATAAATATTTTTAGATGCCAACATTTTTAGAAACTCGATTTAACGTTACCCAAAATATGCACAAGTAAACTGCTTGCAAGCCGACGGCGCTTTGGTTATTTTGATTGACATAGCTTCAGGAGAGCATTTCCAACCTCGTGGAACAATTCTGCCATCTTAATCAGCACCTAGAGTCGTCAATCTGCCTATGATTATTCGAATCCACTCCAAATGAACTCGTAATCATGAACACGCACCTTATACATTTCGCAATAGCCGTCACATGCACAAACAACTGAGCTATGCATTCGTATGCGGCTCTTCCGTTCTCTCTTCGATTGGCAATAGCCTCGTCATGTAGCAATGTTGCTTACTGCCTGCTAATATGCCGTATACTTTCCGAATGTTTGCATTTAGCATAGTTCTTTTCGATTAACTCGAGACTCTCCGTTAACTAGAATTTGCAAATGTTTCAGATTTTTGAGGAATTAAAACTACTCTAGAATTCGTGAATGTTTTCTGTTAACTGCAGAATTGAAACCAGTAAAGTATTGGTTTAGATTATGCTGCCATTACAAGTTTCGTTATTTTTTTCACAAAATTGGAATGTTTAGTAGTATTTGCATGTGCGCTAATATGTATTGCTGAAGCATTTTCAATCGGTCTTATTTGATTCGCTTGCAATCGGTCTTATTTGATTCGCTT